TATCTTTCTATTTGCTGCAGGAATAGTTCTCGCTCGACCAGAGCGGCAGTCCTACTTTATTGATGGTTCGTTCTTTGTACCTGCTCCCTTCCCTTTTTTAAGAAGAGAGCCTTTGTTAGTGGATTGCGTGATAATAACAGGACTCGGAAAGGTTGAAAGGCCCTTTTATTCGGGCTAATTTCTGTGGCGCTGCGTTTGTTTTCGTAAGTTTGAAAAATCGCGGGGGATAGTACAATAATGAAGTCATCGGTGGATGCCAGATTTCGTAGATTCATCATTATCGAGAAATTCCCATCTGTATCGTTTCAGAACTTTCTAATTTTCAGACTTGACTATCTGAGCGTAATTAAGCGTCGCAAATGCAGTTCTCGTGCTTTGATAGTGCTTCTAGAGGTGTTGGGTAATTTACAGTAGTTGCAAAATTCCATTGGAATTTGCTTCGGTCATCCTTAAGGAAATAACTCTTCAACATGTATCGATTGCAGTTACTTGTTGGCAAGCAAAGCGCCCTCAGTTAGTGTCGCATGCGACGGATACTAAACGAATAACCATGGAGCCCGTATGGTTGCATCTGAACGTTTCAATGAAATTCGTTAAGTATCCGTAGTATGCGACGCTAACTGAAGTTTTGGTTGCTCAACCATAGATTGATATCACCATAGAGAATTTGTCTTGGTTATTAGTAGCATTAATTCTACTAAAATGCATTCCTGAAAAAGTTGGTAATCGTTTTTCAACTAAGTACTGGCCAATGAATGCGTTGCAAGTGGCGATCCGTAAATTGCGTAACGCGATTTTTCTGATTTTTTGACACCTACCCACCTGTTGAACGCGATCGTGACGCTAGTCCTGAAAATATTGCGTCATATTTGTTTCATTATACCATCCCCTTTTTTACGAAAAAGTGTTTTTCTTCTTTATGGACAAGTAATTAAAGACATTTAAGGGGCTCGGATGACAAGTGCAGTTCGTGCTATTTCCAGAAATACGTGTTGGACGTTTCGAAATTACATACATGGATCTTTATGGCGGGCAGAAAGTTTAAACTGACCTCTTGATGCTTCAAAGTTGGAATTTGAGAGCTTTTTCACAGAATACGCATCAAGATTCAATTTTTCAATAACTGCACTTCTTCCAAGCCCCTCAACTAATAGCCCAAGTTGAAATAGCTGTGCAATCTTCAACAATTACTCCCATGGAAATTAAGGTAACAGCACCAGTATCCGGAAATTCGCTCAGTTTTTCGTAAAAAATAAGCGGTAGGCACATCAGTGCAAAAAGGGCATCAGGTTTTCACAAATTACACTCATAGGGCGCCACCTTGCAATAAGTGTGATGGTCGTGCGCTCCTTCTATTATCTGTATCATGCTTCTATAGTGACGTATTCACAGAGCGGTACCATTCCCGGTACTGGTGCTGTTACCGTAGGCATTTAAACGTTATAGCGTTGGTATATTATCGTTCTCATCGATTCACTTGACAACGCCGGTTCCAGTTCGCGAAATCGCGAGTAGCCGCGGTGCGTACGTGATATTCCGCGAGTCCGTCATGATGCGCCTCGCTCCGAGATCTCAGACAGCTGCGCAGAAGGCGATGGTGACCTGGAGAGGGGATGGCGGCAGCGGAAAGGGAGGGACGGGGGAAACGTGAACCTTTCCTGCGACGCGAGTAGACATCGCTTTGCTTGCAGCCATGTTGGAAATGCACCCGCACAGTCTGTCTACATTCCGTGAAGTGATCCTTCCGCACAGCCGAGTTATGTTCGCAATACCGTGTTGATCGTGTCGACCGTGGACCTTCCGTTGCGTTCGTATCATACCTCCGGTATCCCTTAGTGTTTTGTCTTTTTTGCAGTGCAATTGTGAGATTTATCTGATCGATCGAACTCGTTATGATGGATAGGCCGAGTGACTTTTTTAATCCGTTTCCGTGACTACCGCGAAACCGCAATCTCTTGTGTCGTCGGTACTTCGAACAGCTCCGCACCGGTGCGCGTCGATTGAAGCGTCAGCTCAATATTGTTTGATAAAGAGGGCGTATCATTATTCATTTTAGTTGCTTTTGTGTTTACGGGCGGTTTGAGTGTTGGAAATAGACTAGAGACTCTTTGACCTTGAAATGACTGGACGAGAATCCCTGTTTTTTTGCTTTTTTAGGTATGTTAAGAATTCAAGTGTGGCATTTCTAATTTTTGAGCCGCCTTTGAATCGTTATCCACACAGTATCTCATATTCTTTCATACATCTAGCTCGAAACTATCAAGAGCAAGTGCATGCTTGTATTTTTGATCATGTTGATTTACAACATTATAGTAGTAGCACTTTTTTTGTGTTATTGATCAGTCAGTGCTGTGGGTGGCCTGACGATGGCCAAGGCCGAACAGCTTCGACAATTTTATACAAATAAATTTATTTCAATGTGAGTTCATTTACATTTTAATCCTTAGCATTGGCTCCCCAATATCACAAGAGAGTGCATGACAGTGGTTGGAAATATTTTAGGGGAGCTGGAACCATATTTTCTCTTGTGCGTCTGTGAGAATCATATTAATGGCTTCATTTATTTTGAAGAAAACTTTTTGTGTGAGGAGGGCTGAGGCTGACCTCCAATATTCCTTGCTCTGTCTTATCAAGTGAGTGAGAAAGATCAAGTATGAATCCAAGGAAACAAATAAGTGAGGTCTGACCCCATGTACCTAGATGATTTTGTTTTAGTAACTAAACAGGACATTTTCTCCTCTGAGAGCCCAAGTTTTCTTGTGATGATTATGCTGAGTAGCCTTTCCTCGATGGCATCAATTATTAGAAGTGCCAAATGAGATCAATTTTATCCACATCCTTAAAAGTATCTCTGAGGCTATCTTTTTGTTACTGATTATTTTTGGCCAATATGTTTTGTAGCATATGATACCTAAAAGTCGCTGAGTTTAATTTATAATCATTTATTTTTATCGTCAACTCAGCTCATTTACTGCTCTAGATATTCCCAATTGTGTGGTTCTTGTGAACATACTTGTTGGAGTGTGTAAATTAATTTTATTGTATTATATTTACAGAGAGAGACGTGAACAGGAGGTCAGAGAACTGGAAAAACAGCAGAAGGAGCGGGAAGTAGCCGCAGCAAGGGAAAAAGCAGCCTTAGAAAGAGAGAAACTCCTAGAACGCGAAAGGCAAGAAAGATTTGAGCGCGATAGAATAGAAAAGCAAAAGCAAGCAGCTGAACAAGCAGTTCATCGGCACTTTGAGGAATCTCTAAGGCGAGCTTCTCAGAAGGTATGTTTTATTTGATTGACTTCTATCTTCATCACCTATGCTTCACATAATTATTACCAAATTCTTGCTTTTCCCATTTCTGCTTTATTCAATTATTTTGGACCGAAAGAAATCAAGTTCTTCAATCCAAAACTTGTGATTGACATGCCAACTTATGTAGGCTTTCTCATTACTCCCAGTAATCCTGGTTTTTCATGCAAGAATGCTTGGTCTAGAAGTTAACGCATTGCTTCTGGCTATACCTTTTTAATCTTCATTGGCTCCTCATTTTGAACGAGAAGATTTGAATCATTTATACAATTTGTCTACTTTCTTAAATATTTTTTAACTCATTTGCTTTAATACAAAAGTATAACTAGGTAGCCAACATGAGCTCTTTTCTTTTGTCTTCGTGATGCTTATCTAGGATCCAAACTTTTCACTGAAAAATTTTTTGAGCCGAAAATTTATTTTGAACCTTACATCTGCTTCCATTGTATGTATGTGTGTATGAACCCTCATTGTTGATAAAAGGGAGAAAATAGTAGAAAGGTTCTCAATTTCTCAATTGAAAACTGATTTTTTTGATGCAACAGGTCAAAATGCCACTCCTGACTTAAACTTACTTATTGACATCAGTCATGAACTTTTTCTCAAAGTTATTACTCCTTCTCACTAAAAATTTAGTATGTCACCAGTCACCTAATATGTTTTTTTATTTTGCTTTTGCAGAGGAACAACAACATGACAGTTTGGAATGTTTTACCAGGCCACCAAGAGCAGGATGAAAGAAAACGACTTCATGACCAGCAACGAATGATTGTCGAACAATCAAGACAGCAGTCACTGCACTACCCTCAAGTCAGAGCTCCGAATCATCCTCCTCCACCAGCCCATAGCAGGGTTAATGCTACTGTCAAACCGGTGGAAAAGCCAAGTTTGCCAAAAGCTGAACCTAATTTTAGTATGTTCCATTACCCAGGCGGTTACCAACCTCAATCTCAAAGAGGTTACCAACTTCACCCGGAAGATGCCAAGCAGGATCAACTAAAACAGGACCCTTCAATGGTTAACAAGCGCGATGAACGAGATATTAGCCTATCGCATGTGCCTCAAGCGCTCATGAATGACATGAAGAATACTGTGATAGTGAAACACGATGGTAAAAATGTTCATGGCCATATAGACTCAATGAAACCACAAATGAGGCATTCTCCAAGTCCAAAACAACACTACCTCTCCCCATCGACAACGCCAAAAACAGCTTATGAATATCAAAATCCTCACCAATCGCATCCTCAACAAAAACAAACTTTGGCTAGTATAAGTAAAGTCATGTACCCTAGACAAAGGCAGTCTCCGAGACCCTCTCCCAAAGTATCACCTATGACCAATTATCCTTATCCTGCGCAAGTTCATTATGCCGCAGCAACAACACCACCGAAACCTAAAGTGAGTAGTCCTGCCCCCCCTCACATTTACGGAAAACCCACTAGTGGAATCAGTTCCGGCCTTCCAATCCATAGGCCGCATGATGCGCCTCTCCAGTTGGTCTCAAAGCCTTTAACTCCTTCACCCTATACCCCCCTTCCTCAACATTTTGTACCTCCCCCAAACACACCCTCACCTGGTCCACCACCACCGGCTCATCGGACCAGCAGCCAAATCGTGTTCCTTCCCAGTTCAAGTCAGCAGCAACCTTTAGATTTGGGTGTTTATTCAAGGCATACGGAAGAATTACCACGAACACAGCAGCCTTCGCCTCAACCTCCAGTCAAAGTTGAGCTGGAATCGCAACCTACACCGCCACCAGTGTCATTACCAACACCTGCGTCTACGCCTACGCCCACCCCAACTCTGGCATCAACCCCATCACCAGTCCCTGTAGTAACATCAGCCCCTGTATCTCCTAAACGAAAAGTAGAAACAAGTCAAGAAGAAGAAAGTAAGAAACCTCGTATTGAAACGCCTCCTCTTTCAGTTCCACCTGCACCCAGTCCGAATCTGGGGAGTGAAACATCCAATAGCCCTCGTCCGACAAGCTATCCAGTACATAAATTAAAGAAAGCTTGGCTTCAGAGGCATTCAGGAGAGCCCGAGTGTTCAGAATCTAGTAAAGATATTGTAGGAAGTGGATCCTGCGTAACGTTACCTATAACTTTGAATTCTACTTCTCCTGTACCTAGTGATATTAACCCTGTAACAACCTCAGCTTCGTCTTTTAGTAGTATAGGTTCAATGGCTGTCAATAGCATAAGTAAAGTGAAAACTAGTAAAAGTCGGAAACCTCCGAAAGATTCACCACAGAATTGTAGCACACTCAATGGACATGCTGCCGATAAGTCCGTCAACGAAGATGATACCTCTAGTTCTGAAAATGATAGGAAGTCATCACCTACGAAACGAATACCCTCCAAACTGAAAAGGAAAAAAGGCAACAATCAAAGGAAGCAAGCTGCCTCCGAGGAGTTAAAAAGGAAAAAGTTAGCCAGCACAAGTAGCACAGATAGTGATAGAGAAAGCGGTAGTGAAAAAGACTCGGACAGTGGGTCAGGAAAGAAAACCAATGGCGGATCAGTGGAAAAAAATGGTTCTAAGGATAACAATCGTAAACGAGGTAGGAAGCCCAAAGGAAACAGCACCGGTACAAAAAACGATAATGGAGAGGGGTCGCGCGAAAAAAAGCCCCGAGACGAACCACCCACCCCGCAGCGTGACCCCTTGCAGAAACCTCCATTTCATCTCTTAAAAAAGTCCGGGAAAAGTTTTTTACAAGATGGATCGTGCCTTGAAGCTGCACCAAAACTTCCAAAATGTCGGGAATGCCGATGGACACCTCACCAAAGAACAAAAAATAATCCTAGTATATTCTGTAGATTTTTTGCATTCCGCCGACTGCGTTATACCAAAAATGGCCAATTAGCACTAGCTGGTTTCTCCGATCCTCATGAAGATGCATCTCAGGTATGCAAATCGTTTTTACTTATTGATATTGTTCACATATTTCATCAAGCTGCTGTAAAAAAAATTCAAAATTCCCTGACTACTTTCTTTTTTAACGCCAATAATGAGAGTGTACAAAGTTTGGAATTGGTGATTGAAGTACATAACAATCCTGACTGATTATATTGATATCTGTGTTAGTCACTGATACAGAGGTGTAGTTTTGAAGAAATATACAAAGTAGCAGAGGTAGCCTCTTCATATGCATCATTCTCAAATAATTCTACTTAATTTAATTTTGGAAGTTTTAACTTTACTCCAGTAATTGACATTAAAAATACCTCCTCAGTTAGATTTTATCTGAGTCATTAAACTGGTAAAAATCACACAAGAGGCTATTACAAAATAGTCAAATGATCACTGTTTTTTTTAGCCTTGGGGGATCTTCAATTCAGCTCTTCCTTTATGTTATATCCTCTATTATAAATCATCCTCTGAGGTTTATATTTCTTTCATCTTTATCACCTTAACATTGAGATTAATTGAATTTGTTTTTGACAGGATGACATCAAACTGTGGCTGCCCAATTCAGCTAGCCCGCCTTCTCATATTAGTACAGAAATGTCCAGGTTTCTTCTGGATCAAGTCGGTGACCAATTTTGTGATCTCCTTCAACAAGAAAAAGAAGCCATCTCAATACACATGTCGGAAGGTAAGATCAGTGCACTGATTCAATGGACTCAAATTTGTCAGGGTCATTTAATTAATCTTTTAACACTCTAAACCGAGTAAGAATTCAAGAATCTGAAATTTAATCCAATGGGGCATTTTCCCCTCTTTCTTTCTCATGTGCAAGTTTTTGAAGTGATGTCCAAATCCTGGAAATTGCCCCATAGGATGGAGCAGAGAAGATGTTGAGTAGTAGCTTCAATCGGTTTTTTGTGAAGGAAACAATTTTTATAGTTCGGCTCTAGTCCCAGAAAGATCTGGAGTATTGTCTAAAAGCTCTGGGCAGGAGAAACAAAAAACTAAAAAATGCAACCAACCAATAAATTTTCTTTAAACTTGCATCACTTGTTTGTTGTTTTCGCCCCAGGTAGTCCCTCCACAGCAACTTAATGAAAAGAGGATTGTCTCAGAATGTTGTTCTTAATGACCTTGTTTCTTTTATTTTTGTGTCTTACAAATTTATTAACATGCTATTCTTACTGTTTCAGATAAGTCAATAGCCTGGAAGCGGGTTGTACAAGGAGTACGTGAAATGTGTGATGTCTGTGAAACTACGCTTTTCAATTTCCATTGGGCGTGTGGCAAATGTGGTTTCGTCGTCTGTATAGACTGTTACAAGGTATGCTATTGATTTTGGATGTTAACTATTTACTTTATTCATCAATTATTTATTTATTAATTATTCATCAGTTTTCATTGAAGGAAGTCTACTTATCTTAATTAATTGTCTTTATCCTAAAGAATTGAAATTGAGAAGATCTGACAAATATTCTGTCACAATGAGAAATACCAGTAATACCCTGTAAAAGGTACAGGATTTTTTTATTTTGTCCATTCACCTATATCCATTTCTGCAGTCTGCGGTCATAGTTGCTTCATTGATTTTATTAACTTGTTTCAGACGAGGAAGAATGGCAAAACCAAGGTCTATGGTGATCCAGGGAAAGATAGGGATGAATACTCGTGGCTACTTTGCACCAGTAAACAGCCGCATGAACAGAAGAATCTGATGCTGACCCAAATTATTGCTGGTGATGCTCTAAATAAATTAGGATATAAAGCGCACGAATATCGCGCATTATTTGGAATCCCCATCGGTTGTTCCTGTTCTGTTGCCAATTCCCTGCAAACCAATGGATTTAGAAATGTAAGTTTCTTTTCATTCAAATACTGCATGCTTTTTTAACAACCGCAAATTCAGTTTGAGTCAATGACAGTCATTTTTAATCATCTCCTAATTTTTCCCATCTTATTAATCAGTAGCCCCAATCTTGGAGCCATTCTTTGCTTTTCACTTGCATCGGAGGAATGTGTTTTTATGATGCTAAAATATTTTTACCTTTATCTCATGGTTTGGCTGACAGTGAACAGTTTTAACATCATTAAAGTAGTTATTTTGTAAGTATTAAAAAATTCAGAGAAAATCTTCATTAACGTTTTCTGGGAAGTTTGGTCTTCAAAAATATTGACTGTCCTTAATATTATCATTTTATCGCCATCAGTATATTTATTTTTTATGTGCGAGTAATTGCCAAACTCATTTTGTTCCCTTGTGCTACTTATTTTAATCCTAATTAAATATGCTTGTTGTATTGCAGGATGTGAAAGGTCGAGTGAATGCAGACGGTGAGGTCTTAAACGGCCAGGTCAAGACGGAATTTAAGAAAGAATTGCAGGATGGCAAGAATGATGATTCACCCTTGAACTGGCTGGCAGATGTGGCCTTGTCCAGTAGTCATGATGACAAGAAAGACGTAAGTCTGAATTCTACACTCTCTCTCCCTTTCCAGTTGAGCCCACAAACATGTTCAAAAATATGGATTTCTTTAGATTTCATCATCTAGTGACTACAGTTGAACATCTATTCTAAACGCCTCCAATTCATACCCATTTCATTTTCATCTTAAATCCAGGGTTGCCGGTGGTTTGAAAAACCAAGGAAAGTCAGGGAATTTAATGCGCTTAGCAGAACTTAAATTTTAAAGGAACAAAATCTAAATGTAAGTTTTATTCAAAAAAAAGGGAATCTGAAAATTTCGGAGTCAGGTAATTTAGAGATGAAGAAATTATGGCAACTCTGTGAATCTCTTTCCAAAGAACTTTCCATGGTAATTCTGAATTTTCGCTTCCTTTTTTTTTTATTTCAACCTTTTTTTCTCTCCTCCTTTCCTTGAATTTATAATGGTTTTTACAAATTCTTCATGCACTATCTTTTCCCTGCAGGACTCCAATAGCGGCAGTGATAGCGAAGATGCCAACTTCTCAACGTTGAGGGAATTACTCATCCGACCAGCTCACAAGGCCAATGGTAGTGGTGCACCATCTCCAGCTAATAGTCCTCACTCTGAATCTCCAGCGCTTGCCAATAATCCTAGCAACAACCAACCAATCAAATCTCATTTAGATACGTTAGACCAGGTAACTATCATGACTGATAAAAACCTCTTTTTAGTCAATATACTCTCACATCAATCGTAAGACAGGAGATATACTAAGCAAAACTTGGCTCTAGATAAGATGGCTGATTTTCTTACTGTTCACTGTCATGTTCAGCCGAAGAATTTATATCTTTTGTTAACGATGGCAGTGTTGCCTTTTGTCTTGGGCGGTCGCCATATTCAGTGGCAAGAGTTGCATTGGATGAAAAATGTTCCTCGTTCAAATTTGTATGACAGCAAATAACTGCCAACTTATCTGCATTAATCTACTTCATTTTGCAAGGTACAAAATTTTCTGTTACACTTCATTTTCATCAGAAGAAATGGATATTGCTCGAAAAAATTTCTACCATTAGTTTCATGTTGATTAGTTTTGTTAGTTTAACAACTTCGCCCATTACTATCTACATTGAATAACCTATTGTGTATATTCTATGAAGTAATCTTATTGTTTCTTCTTGAACAGGTCCGTTTGGTTTGTCCTATGGCTAATGTGAACAATGTTCACAATAGTGGCACAGTTCACAATAGTGGCACAGTTCAGAATGATGTGAAAGGAGGTGAATTAGAACATTTCAAACGTCGTTCCAATTTCCGACACCGAGAACATCTACCCCCTCGACTCTGGACGCTTCTGGAGAGCAAGAATCTGTACCCTGATGTTCCACACTTGTGGCTCTGTGAAGGAAAGTTGTTGCGACTATTAGATTCTAATCATTCCGGAAATGCCAGCATTTTCCAAGTAAGTTATGTCATAGGCTGTAATAGCCCTTATATTTTGTTTTCTTAATATCCAAATTTTCATTCAATGGTGCTAGACAAAGTGAAGACTTGCCAAATGTTTTAGCGCCTCAAAAGAATTTTGAACTATATTTTAATCAATCAGTTTACTCTCTTCCAATAATGAATCCCTTATTTAAGAAGAAACTTTTTATATGTGCCCGTAAAACTGATACACTAATTATTTTAGGAATTTGATATCTGTGTATAAAAAAAACTGGAAACAAATCTGTGTAAGCAGTGCACCAAGTGTCTTGATTGCCGTTTTCTCAAAATGCCTGCCTGCTCCTACTTTTTTCTACTAAAATTTACTATTATATCATTGTTCTTATTATATACCTACGATGGAGATCTATTATCGATGATGATTGGAACACCCCCTTACATCATTTTTGAAGGATAAGTGTATCTGTCATGAAGGCCCATCGTCGATAAACTTAAAAGTTGATGCCTGAAGTATAAAATTTTCTTTACTTGTTGTAAAAAAAATTTACCGGTAAAAATTTTAATTAGTTTTACTTAAAGAAATTAAAACATTAGTGGAGATTTTCTAAACGTTTCAATTGAGATAAGTAATTCTTACATTTAGCCATCTGAGTATTGGTGTGTCTAGTACACTATGTTTCTCTTGTTTTATGCCTTACTAATGGTTCGTTCTTTCTCTCATGTTTCAGGAACAGTGGAAAAGAGGTCAGCCTGTGATAGTTAGTAATGTTACTTCTCGTTTAGATAAAGACTTATGGACGCCTGAGTCTTTCATTAAAGATTTTGGTGATGTGAAGAATGATCTCATAAATTGTGCCACAGATAACATTGTACCCAATCAGCCCATGCGTAAGTTTTGGGATGGATTTGAGAATTTGTCAAAAAGGCTCAAGGACGAAAAAGGAAATCCAATGCTATTAAAATTGAAGGATTGGCCACCTGGTGAAGATTTCGCCGAACTGTTACCCACACGGTAAGAAACCGCATTCTGTTTTTTAAATTTCTTCGCCAATAAGTCAAGCAGCAAATCTTGGTAGAAAATGGATTGCATCTTCTTGTTTCTGCAGCCATTTTGCATCTCAGCTTTGTTTCTGATGAAAAGTTCGGAAATCTTTCTGTTTTCAAAATCATTACAACTTTTATTTATTTTACCAATTTGAACTAAGGTCTAATTCAGAGTTTAAGTTATTTTTCTGGAGTTGTCGTAACCGAAGAAAAAAATAACACCTTTTCTCAAAGAATGAGCTCCTGTTCACTCATTCTCTCCCATTATTAATTCTTTAATTCAGCGAAACTTTGCTTTCCTGGTTTTATTGGGACTGAACAGCTTCAGGATATATCACCATCCATTAGAAGATTTTGCGCACTTCTTCATCACCAACCAGCATTGCGCCTTTTTTCCCACTACTAAATTCAGCTAACATTATTCGAATGCAGAATTTCTGGGTTTTTGTAGGGGTGCAAGAAGTGCTGAAGCTGAAGGAAATCTGTGAGGGTACAAGGAAATTTTTACATGTAGTTCTTGTTTTCAAACCACCATTTTCAAGGAGTCTTAATATCATGTCATGCTTCTGTTTGCTTTCAGATTTCTTGATTTGATGAATGCCTTACCATTAGGTGACTACACACAGCGAAGTGGCTGTTTAAATTTAGCGTCCCGTTTACCTGAATGTTTTGTTCGACCTGATCTGGGTCCAAAAATGTATATAGCCTATGGCTCTGCCAAATGCTTCTCTCGAGGAACAACCAACTTGCATCTGGATGTTTCGGATGCTGTCAATGTGCTAGTCTATGTCGGACTACCGAAAGACTCGGAGAATGACGATCATATTAAGGGTAAGTGTTGGCTTAAAATTATTCTGGCCAATTCAGCCTCAAGTGCACTCCTTTCTCTCCTCTTCATTTTTTCTTCAGTTTCTTCATTTTTTCCATCATTTCAGTATCCAGAGATGGATCTGATTTTATCTCAATGGAATCCCATTGTCCATTTTTTAGGTGAAGCCTTAATTTTGAAAGGTCCTCTCAGAATTTTTTTTTTTAAATTTTAGTTGTTAACTGAAAATCAATCACCAGACTTAGACGCATCCGACAACTCAATAGCGAGTTATGTAAGAAATACAAGTCTGTACCTTTTTGAAGTAAAGGACTTGAGCCAAAAATGGCAGCAGTCTAAGAGTCGTTACTCGCAAAATGCTGAGCAAAGGAAAATTGGCCGTCATCTATAGGCATAGTGAATAAAAGTTAGCATTTATTTATCCCCTGATTCCCATGAATTTTCAAATGTCTGTAAGTAATTTTTCACTTTTTGGACTTCATTTAGATTGGCTTTGAATTTCAATGATACCCTTACCTCTAATTAACCGTATCCCTATTTTAGTGCTGTCTTGACACAACTAGCTCAACTAATTTGGACGCTCTTTTCTTCATTGCAGAGGCATTCCGAGCAATTGATGAAGGAGGCTGTGATATTATCACAAGGAGACGCGTGCGAGAAGCAGGAGAGGTGCCTGGTGCTCTGTGGCACATTTACGCCGCTAGAGATGCAGACAAAATCAGAGACTTGTTAAACAAGGTGGCAATGGAGCGTGGTGCTAGACTGGAACCTCACCATGATCCAATTCACGACCAGTCATGGTATTTAGATGCAACTCTGCGAGAAAAGCTCTACAAGGAGTACGGTGTTGAAGGCTACGCGATTGCTCAATGCAAAGGAGATGCCGTATTCATCCCTGCTGGTGCTCCTCATCAAGTAAGTTTAACGACCTTTTGTTCATCATCCTTGTTTATAGTCGAAATAATCTCCAGAAATGTAGCTTGTTAAGTGATTAAATTCGGAAAATCACTGCCACTGATCTGTGAATCACTTACCTGATAGCACTAATAAAGTGGCAGAAACTAATTTATGAATGAAATAAGAATATCTCCTCTCTGATGCTCTAAGTAAACAATGTTCGAGTAATACCTATTTGCTCGCAGCTCGACACTACATACTTCATTTCTGTTAAGTTGAGAGATTAAACCGGAATTCCTAACTGAATCAGATGATTCCTAATTTTCGCTGATATTTTTTATTTTTCAAACAGAAAACAAAGCAACACTGAAATGTAAGATTATGTTCTAATGTTCTTAAAATTCTAGGGTATATCAACAGAAAGTAAGGTGATGTTAAGTTCAGTCCCCCGAAGAAACAAAGAATACAGAAGAAATCTAAAGAACATTAAATGCGTTTAGGATGATCCGTACAATCATTGGTGGGTTGTTGTTTATATTCCCTCGGTATTTTAAACTTTTTTTTGATTATTAATCAATGGTTTATTTTCTGTTCACAGGTGCGAAACTTGCACAATTGCATCAAAGTAGCTGAAGATTTCGTCTCGCCGGAAAATGTATCTCACTGTTTCACACTGACGCAAGAATTCCGTGACCTGTCCGAGCGGCATCAAAACCACGAGGACAAACTTCAGATCAAAAATATCATGTACCATGCAGTCAAGGATTCCATCTCAGTCATGGAACATCTGGCTGAATCAAAGGCTGATGTAAAAGACATCAAGCCAAAAGTCGAAGCTTCTCCACCCAATGAAACGGGGTTGTCTAACGAGGATCCGTAATTTTGTGCAGTGAACTATTTGTTTTTCATAATTTTTCTTTCTTTTATTACGGGTGTAGTGTTAAATACAAGTCCATGAAACTAAAATTTTTCACCTTTTCTTAAAAATATCTGTACTGTATATTTTGAACACTTAACAAATTCTTTAATTTTTACATTTTGCAACCTTTGTGGAGATGTGCTTTCTGTGGTAATTTCTTGTTTTGTTCTTTCATTTTTTTCTTTATTTATTTGATTATTTTCTATTATCATTTTCCTCATCTCACGCTTTTATATTTGTACATTCGTATATATATGTATCGAAGTATATATAGATCTATAAATACTTGGAATCTTTATTATTTGACTTTTATCAAATGAATTGCCCTCTCAAGAGAGAAGATTTATCTGAGATGAGCAACGTCTGTATATTTTTGATTAAGTACGTTTGGACATAGATACATTTTGAACACAATGTATCACTTTTGTAAATTTTATTTTCTTAATTTTTAACCAATACCGTCTGTGGAAAGCCTCTTTTAATTGTTAATGTAAATATTATACAAATCTTTCCAAAGAGCCTTTTGCCGACTTGTATTGTATAGAGTTACGGTTCAAAGAGCGATGTGTACAGTGTTAATATTTGTTCAATGAAGAAAGATGATAACTGCAAAGTATACTATCATCTACGATTTGTCAAAAGTTGAGAATTTGTTTTTTTCTTTTTTCTTTATTTGTGCTTAAGCAAGAGAATGAGTTTAAGGACAACCTTGAATTGAAGAATATCAAATATTTTTACGTTTTAAAGATTTAAGAGAAAAAAGCATTTTTGTGATTATTTTTCTTATGATTATTCTTACTCTTAGGTCTATCGATGAATACTTTTGCTTAGTATTGTATAAATATTGTATTTACTAGATAAAATTACAGTGTATTCTTTTTTATGAAAGAAATCTAAAGAAATCAATTGAATTGTTCTCATTATGGTGTATGTCATTCCTCTCCAACACATTCCTGTTAATTGTGCCGCTATTCTATTTTAGACTGATATAATGGCTGTGTCATAGTTTTAGGTTTCTATCGTAAATGAACACATCCTTGTCTCTGACTTATGCTGTTGTGGTAAAACGAGTCTTAAAGTTGAAACCTAAATTTATCAAGTCTCAAGTATCAGTGAGTCATTACTTGTTCATGAGGATATTTCGAATATCGCAAGAATGGTATAGCCACTAAATCAGTCAATGCAGACACACTGCTGCAAAATAAGTCAATCTGCAACAGTGGCGTGGTGTGAATCGCGATAAATTGATTATTTAAGTGTTCGCTGCGAACACCCTGTTTATCGATCCTTTTCCATAGGCTTAAATGGCCGATCAATTGATATATCGCAAAGCACGCCACGCCACTGATCTGCAATAAATTCTTTTGCAGGCAAGACTTTTTTTGGGGGGCAATAAGTAGTTCATTTTAAAAGCCATCTCTATTGAAATTGTAATTCACAAATGTATTAACTGACTTCTTTAAATCCATTAGATTTGTCCACATTCTTCTTAAAAGAAAATGCATTGACCAAAATGGCTGATTTCCTGTTTCACTCCAGAAATCAGCCTGGTTATACAGTGACCTCTTTCACATCAAAGAGTCGAGTAGAGAAGCAGCACTAGTGTCTCTCAAGAGTAATTTGAAAGAGGAGGCATTGAGAATTTCATTTTAACTTAAAGTGGCAGAAATTTTCTCTTGGCCAAAATGTTTCTGAAATACTGTCCTCAAACAGGGGCGTTCTAATCAATCCTTGTCGATAAGCTATCAGTACTGATTGTTTTGAAATTCTGATTCACTTTTATAAGATCACTATTACTGGGAGTGAGTAATTGTAATTGCGCTAAACGCAAAGCATTGTTGCCTTATAAAGTCTCTGTTCAATAGGTTGTTTGGCCTGTTAAACTGACAAATACATTTTCTTCAGCTCTGATCATTCCACTTGCCATCTGTGAGGGTCTTCTTGTTCTCATATATCTTAATCGAACTGTTCTAATAACTTACCGAAAACCGATAGAACACCCCTACCTGGAATACTGTAAAGTTGGCCCATCATCAGTGGAACTTTGATCATGACCCAACTTATCATTCATTAAATATTATTCAGGAATTCAATTTAAATGAAAAAAAAACAAAAACCGCTATTGTTTGACTGATCAAGACATAAAGAATTTATTCACATTGATTCACAAGATTATCATGATTAGCACTCTAATATTTACAAATGAAGGCATTTCAGAGCTACAAAACTGAATTCACTACTAATTATTACACAAAGCACCGTACTTTGATACTAAAAACCTTGAAAACAAATTCTACACTTATATCAAAGACCCATGACAAAAACGATTTGCTTCAGATGCATGAAATATTATTCATTTATACCCTACGTTAATGAGCATTTTAAAAGCATAAAACCATCAAAGTCAAGAATAAATATTCTTAACCCCGAACAGATTTTCCGCCTGAAAATAACAAGTTTTCATCTTGATTAATGGTCACTTTGCCTTAAATCTAACAGCTCATTCAATTATTAGAAGTTTGACACCAGTGGATTGTATGGGATCTTGATCTTGAAAATTCTGTCAGTAAAAAAAAATTGCTTTCATTGCAGAAACATCAAAATTGGAATTTGAAAAAATGTTGCTGGTTCTCACTAAACCAAGGAAATCTAATAAGACAAGTCTTAAGTAGAAAAATAAGCAGAATATTTCAATATTCTAACTAAATTCTGCTGAGTTGTAAAGCAATTAATGAAAATTCCTTTACAGCCCCCAGACTGTTGTACCTAAATTAAAATTAGGTGTCCCTCCACTAATTTTGGACAGACTTCACACACCTAAAATTAAAAGAGCAATCATTTTCCTCATCAAGGACAACTTAAACTAAATGGTGTGATTATTCAGATAGTGTTTTGGATGAAGTTTATGCCGAAGGGCTTCACACTCTCTTAGAATGGGACAGAAGATCAACGGTCCTCAGTTTAGCATAAAAAATAAATACAGGATCGAGATGGCAGATCTTCTGTCACTCTAGAAGTGTGTAAAACTAAATAGCTTTGACTCTAAACTTCTTGAGTTTGGTAACTTTTCAATGAATATTCTCACAAGAATGCCACTTCGAATGAGTTGGGCACTGAAAATGTGCAGCAAAAGGACTTGGAATTCACGGATGTGGCACAATTTTTCTCACATATCACAGTGAAAGAGGCACTTTACACTTTTGGAATTGCTGAGTTGAAAGGGCATAGGTCAAACCATTACGTCTTGGTAGATGAGTGGGATGAAGTTTCCTGAGTCACATTATCATCATCAGGGAAGAGAATCCGCCGCCTGGCAACAAGACGTTTCAAGGGTCTTCTTCTTCCACTCCTAGTCTTTGTTCGTTTGTTGTGACTAGAGGCTTCTACAAAACTATGACTAGGTGGTACAGGGGGTGGAAAATTCAAGCTGAGGTTCAACATTATCTGATTAAACGCGTGAAAAGCCGCAATCCTCCTGAAAAAAAAGGAATGCAAATGGTTAGGAAGGGAAGGTGATATCAAACGCACTTGAGGTACAGTTACCGTGATGCAGAACACTGTTACTTGATATTACGATAGATGATTTCTTGACATGCAGATCACATATGGTAACGACACAAACAAAACCGAAATATCTTGACAGCCAAGTAACAATGGGACTTGTGATGTCTCGAATTTGCTCAGTGTAAATTTTAAGATCTACCATTCCTAATTCATGAGACAATGTTTTTCAGTTTTGATAAAGTAAGAAGAAAACTGAGGAATGATATGCATGCTAAGGGCTCTCCTAGGTACCCCTTTACCCAAAGGCAGGTTTGCCCTGCAAGACATATCCCAGTGCATCCTCTACTGCGCCTTTAGGACTGATCTAACGGGGATAGAGTCATTTCTTATACCAAACCAATACCAAAAATAGTGTACAATTGTGCACTAATTGGTTATGTTTTGCAAAGTTTGCAAAACACAACACATACATAGTGTTGCAAAAGAGAGAGGACCCCCAAACCCTCCTTCAGTGACACCCTCTGATTCCCTATCCTGCGCCCTCCCCAAAGGTCCGTCCACTTCTGCATTTGTCAAATCGCTTAGGTTGCATTAAAGAGGGAAAAATTAAGAAACTACATACCTTTCTTGGATTCTGAGCATGGTCAATCTTCTTCTTTCCATTATTTTCCTCCAAGTGTATTCTTGAATTTGCATTGCTACTTGGATAAACAGTGCCTGCATCTCTGATATAACGGATAAAAGATGTACAAATTGTTCTTCTGGGCTTGCCTCACGTGCTTCCTCCAATCTTGAATGACTGAGATATTCGAGACGTTCTCGAAATTCCTGTGCCCATCGATTGGGTAGATTTTCTGTAGTTTCCGAACCCATTGCACAAGACAATATTTTATCACTCAAATAAGCTGTGTGAAAAGTAGACCTTGTAAAAAATTAAATAAATCAAGCGAGTAACTAACCGAAAGATGAAACGCAGTGGACTTTAAACTATTGGCTAGCTCCAAAAGAGACGAATTCTGGAGTGTAAATTGAAATTAGAAAGTGGGATTTTCCCAGCGTCCCGAAACGGAGACAAGCAACGCAACGTGGAGTTTTGTTTACAAATTTGAATTTCCCGCAAGATTTCGAAGGCCAACCGAAGCAGGCACATTTTAGTTTCATCGATCGCCAACATTCTCCGCCTTCACACCGTTCACCGGTAGAACTAAATTTTAGAGATAAAAAATTCGCGCAACCTAGTAATGTCACATGTAAATGTTTATCTTTATTTTCTCGCGAATTAGCACTCAGCTAATAGTGATTATTTCGATGATATATCTACATTTATAGTTGCTTTACTTGTCAGTGTCTCAATCGGATTGTAATCAGTAGTTTTGTTTAAAAAATCTCCTTAGAAATTAGTGCACATCAATTCGCTCAAGCATAACCTAATACTGAAGTATCCTACTTTAAATTAAAATGTACTTTTGGTTTTCGCTCTCAATTCCATCATGTTCTTTTGCCAGGATTGTGTAAAATTTTTCAGATTGCGACTCCCCATTTTTACTTGAAGAATTTGTATTTCATCTCTACGATTCAATCTGCACCGTAAGTATACTTATCAGATATGTAACGTAATGTTGCACAACTTCATGCACTTGCATTCCTATGCTCTGAAGTAATCAGACAAGTGGTATGAATTCTGAGTATCTTCCATAAGTTGCATCAAAACTATCTTGAGCCCTAATTTATGCTCTCAGTTCGTTCTTTGATCACCCTTTCATACTAGTTTGATGTGTCAGTAGTCCGGAGAGAATTACTACACAATTTACTGCACTGGAAGTAAACAAATCGAAGGTGTAAGTCCGCAATCACATAACTCGTTTGTGGTGTCTGAAAATCTCTGCCTTTATGTTATTTTACTAAGGGAGAACAAATTGACATCATTCCTTGATGTTTTTGCAGAATTTTCCTTGCATGAAGAAACAAAATCACGGCAGTTTTAAAGAATTGCCGTTGAGTAGTTTTCCGATTAAAAAATAAAGTAGGTATGACAAGAAGTCTGCAACGTCGCAAATTGAGTTATGTGATTGCCAACTTACACCGTCAAAACATCAAGCTATCATACAACTTTGGTTAACCAACTGGTCTTTTTTTCAAAATCTCGTCAGAATTAAAGCAGTGTCAAAGAAAATCTCAGCTGTCTACCTGGATAAAGATCCTTCTGAGAGTACGGGCGAAAGTAGAAATTGACAATTTGATTTAACTTATTATACATGGAACTTTTCATGTTCAGTTACTTTTGGCTTAGTTCAGAGTTTACTAAGAAAATTCTGAAGATAGTCTGCCTAAATGTTTTTCTGCTTTGTTTTGATTTGTTTTTTGTGGACATCTGAAAGCAAAACCAGCATTTACTTAAGCTCTATTAGAGGTTGAGCAGAGGTTGATAGCTTCACATTTGTTTCCACCTCTAAAAGAATCACCTGAAAAGGTAAGGCGGATACAGAATGGTGGTCGCATTTCGATTTTGGCTACCATCTTGAAGCATTGTGATGTCAGAAGGGTACTGGTTTTGCCGTGCAATCCGAGGTTGAGCCGGCCTTGGCTGGCCCATGTACCGGATACCGTGTGACATCCAGAGGGTACAAAATGCGACCACCGTTCTTTAACCGCCTTGCTGAAAATGAATCTCCTTTAGCAAAGAAATTGTAAAGAATGGCTTTTTTCCCCATCAGGTGTAAACAGCGTATTTCAATATTCTGTAAAAGCTATTTGATTCCTTGTGAGTATTTTGATGTAGGAAACTTACCTTAATAAATTTGACCCCCAAGATTCAACTGAGCTGGTTGTTTCTATTGGAAGGAAGTACTTATCAAACATATTCTTGAGTGCTTAGAGTACAGAAATGTTTCACCTCAGAGTCAACACTGAATGCTGTTGACGACTCAGGGAATCTGATTTACAATGATTTGGCTGAAATTTTACCAAGATTAACTGAGATTGTGTAAAGAACCTAAGGACTGGAACTGATTCTACTAAATGATAAGGAACTGACAAATATTCACGCTAACACTCGAAAATATGAGAAAACTTTTCGATAGGTAATACAGATGATACCATTTTAAGTCCCTCATATAATTTACAGTGCTCATTTTCCAGGTTTGAAGATGGCCACTGCGGTCGAGGTGATAATAGATTCTGCTGCAAGCGAATGCCAAGCCTCAACGAGTCAAATCAAGGAAGAGTTGCATTCAGAAGATGAAGAAACCGGCAAACCAAAGTTTTCTGTTGACAGAAGTGCCATTTCAGCCATTGCTCAGCCAGATTTGGTATGTAATGACCACAGTGAAAATTCATCATTATGGATTAACAGTTGCAGATCTTGATCTTTTTCATTTTCATGGAGAGAAAAGCAATTGCATAAGATAATTCCTCAAATGCTGGAAAGAAAATTTTGTCCTCTTTGAGTTAGTTCTTGATGCAATAGCTGAGAGTTGCCTGAGATTTTGAGCTGAATTTTACCTTTACACATTTCTGCTGATCTTATGCAAATCCCATGTATGCCAGTCAGCTACAGTACTTAGAATGGAAATTACTTGGCCTTTTTTTTTTTTTTTTTTTTTTTTTTTTTTTTATGGTAATGATTTTTGAAATTTTATTGAATAAAGAGGCTTTTGTCCTCAATTTTTTTTCATCATTTTAACCCTAATTAAAAAGCAAGATGATGAGCATTTTGAAGTGTGAAATATCTTGAAATAATTAGCCTGTGAAAGGTGAAAATGCTCATTGTATGTGACTGCAAGACTTTCAAAGGGTATGCAATAGCAGCTCATTTTTGGTTTGTGGCGTTACACCTAGCGGTAGGTTCCACGGCCAGTCCAAAAAAAAAAAAAAAATATTGATTTGATCTTACTGTAGAGCAGAAGATGTCAAGGACGTAAAAGGAATGGAGACCCAGTGGAGAGATGGAGACAGGCTGTTAGTTGTTTTGACTCTTTATTCAAAGCAGTGCGGTAGGTTCAATGTGGGATGGCCCTCATTCTCATTGCAGATAAGTATTATGTAAATATTTCATAAATTTTAGGAATTTCAAACTGATCCAAACACTGTCATTTATTAGGTAGATTTGTATGCATTATGACTCGAAAAAAAAATAAACCTCCTCCTGATCTCTTGTACATGAATTTTAATTTAGATGATCAACTAATAGTGTGAGGTTTCAATTTGAAGCCTCAAAAGTGATGCCATAGTGCACTCTCTCCAAATTTAGTGTAAGTCAGGACTTGATCCTCTGGTTTACATTATTTGTATTTTATTTATAGGCTCCCGAGCTGCAAGATTTGAATTTATCCGTGTATGATCAAGATGTCTTTGAAGCTGCAGTCCTGAAACAAGTTGATGATGCTCTAGAGCGTGAAGAAGCTCAGAAAAAAGTAAAAATAAAAAAGGTTGTGAAAAATGAGGTAAAAAAGGAGGAAGGTGAGTTGAGTGATGAAAATGAAGAAGATGAAAAAGGAGAAAATGAAGGTAGTGATCTGAATGCTGGATTCGTTCGCCCTAGTAATCAGCTGTTCAGCACAAATGAGACTGGAACAGAAACTGAAGCAGAGAAACAAATCAGACTCGGAGAAATCACCCCTTTCGGCACATCCATAGATGGCCCCTCAAAATCTTCCAAAAAACCGTGAGTTTGATTAATTTTTTTGACAATTTTCTAGGTCCACCAATGAGTTGAAGTGTCTAAATTTTGATCTTATTGCATAAGTAAACAAAGTGCAAGGCATTGAGAAGTATATGGGTTACTTTATAATTTATTACAATGGCAAGATTTTTTATCCCTTTGTTTAGCTGTAAGGCACTGTAATGAGTATAATATGGTGATAAATGGGTGTGTAAAGTTGTTGACTGAAGGGGGAAAAGTGTAATGGATTAATTTTTTAAAGGCTGACTGACAAAAATATTAATCTGGAATTCTGGCCAATTTTGAATTTTTTTTTGCTTAATGGGGACAACAGACAAATCAGTCCAAAAATACCTAAAACATCGACTGACCCACCCACCTGTTTGCCTTCATTCTTATACACTTTCAAATGATGTTGGAAAGCATATTACTTTATCTCATTTTGTTTACATAGTGGCAATTGATGTAGAAATATAAAGCTGTAAACCGAAAAGCCTTTAAGCCAATTTTTGAAATTTGACGCCATATGACAAGACATGGAAAGAAATATTTTACACAGCACAGTTATGACTTTTCCTTGTCTTGTCATGCAGACAAAGTTTCAATAATTTGTCTGCAGACGGAACGTATTTCTCATCCTGATTTCAATGTAAATTAGAAATTCAACTTTCTCTCTTTGGTTTCTTTTTCAGAGAAATGAGTGCATTTGAAAAGTACCTGCAAGACCAGGAAAAATTGCGTGCTAAAAAGCCTATTCCTAAAAAAGCAAAGACAGTGGTAGAAAGAAGCAAGGACCCCTTACAAAGAAGTGTATTGAACAGGTCTGGCACAAAGAAGAAACGCAAGAAAAAAGAAAAGTTGGGAACAACCAAGAAAGCTTATTGCCCATATTCTGAATCAGACCCCATGGCCTCTGAAACAAGTACAATGTATCTGAATGAGGAATCTGGCAGTGAATATGTACCGACCAGTTCTGATGCATCCTCTGATGAAGGTAACAAGATAAAAAAATATATAACTCATTTTTAATTCACTGATGCAGTCACAAGGTATTTTTTAAAACAAAATTCTCTTAAATTTTACCTTATCTCTTGAATAAATGGTGGAAAAATTATGCATATGAGATGTGATTTTTTTCTATCGGTTGAAGGAAAGCAGCTAATTTCAGGACTTTCCTATTTAATTGGGTTTCCCTTTCTTAGATACATATTTCTCTACTATATTCAGCTTTCAACTGTTTGTATTTTTATCAAATTCTAATGACTCAAGAATTCATTTGGAAGCAGTTGCATGAAGTCCTAAGACGTTTCTTATTCAAATATTTAAATGAATAAAATCACTTTAAAGTGTGCTCATTTTAAAAGTTATTTAGTTCATTACCAACAGGCTTTTAAGAACAGGTAGTCTTTCCTGTTTCATCATTTCTATTTTCATTTAAAAGTGCATAGCTTCATTCTTTCCAAGTTGTTTATTTTTGATCATTTGATATCGTTTGTTTTTCTCTGCAGAGGCAAAGAGTTATGCCGCTCTAAAGGAGTCAGAATCAAAGAGACCCAAACCACAGAGACCTGTCAAAAAAAGGAGAAGAATTGAATATGTAAGTGACAGCAGCGTTCACACTGATGACTCCTTTTCAGATAGTGACGATGACTCAAAGTCAAAAAAACGGAAGTGTAAGTAAAACTTTGATTTTTCACCTTCACATGTAATGTAAAATGTTACTAAATGAAAGTCTCTTAATCAAATAGTTTTCGGGTTTTGGTGACTGTAAGAAAATTGATAGTTTCGCACCTTTTTGTTTGAAGGTTTGTTCAAGAGTGCAAGTCATATTCTGTAGCAAACAGCAAATATATCTTGCCTGATCTGTTTTGCTGTTAAGTTTGATTTATTCCTTTTATGTAAACAGTGATGGCTTTGTTTGACTGAAATCGATGATGAGTCAAGAAGACTCTTACAAAACTGCCTCTTCTCAAAGTAATGCCCTTTTGCCCGGGCTGAAGCTGTACTCTCTTGATAGCCTGAAATTTTGCCCACCACCGTAACTGTTTGTCTTTGAAATGCTCTGATAAGCCCTGAAACTGGTGTTGAATCACTCAGTAAATATCTTTGAGGGTAATTTACACTCAAATAAGTTTCTCCCCTATCATAAAAAAGTTTCTCACTGATTTCATGCGTAATGTATGGATTAAAACAGTCTCTCTTCATGCCTCCCCATGAGGGTCCAGTATGAGTCCTTATTTTTGGCATTCTTTTTTGTTTATGTTACCTAAATAAAATGATTCTATCTAGGAATAACCAAGGCAAACCAATGAAAAAGTTTATCAAATTGCTCACTGTATTTTATAATTATTTATGCTTGTAGCTTAAATGTAATTTTCATGCCTTGTAGATGGTAAAGAACTAGATGATGGTGATGAGTTTGTATACGAACGGAGGTATCGGAAATGGAAGAAAAGTCCTGAAGCTGCGGAAAGGGAAGAAAATCTTCACAAGTTTGATGACTTTGCAATCCCACAAGAAATATGGGATAGACTATACAAGTAAGTGAATTTTCCCTCGCGCTGTATATGCTTTATTTCTTTCGAAAGTCATTTTTGTTAAACATTTCATTTGGTCTAATGGAACAAAATATCTGCAGCTATGAAGAAATTACCTTGCTGTGGTACTAGAAAATTTCCTTTTCTTCACAAATATCAGAAAAATCCATCGCAATTTATTACTTTCTGCTCAGTTTTAAGTTTTATTTTTCAATTTATAAATTTGTTAGCATTTAATTTAATCCTCCCAATATCACAAACAAGGTACCTTGTTTGCTGTGAACCATGGAAATTTTAACTCATCCTATAGCCACCCTTGCTCGAGACTTTCTTCCTGTTGACAGAATGATAGGATAAGACTTCTGATGTATATTTCCCTTCATGTTGATGGAATAATAGGATGAGACCTCTAATGTATGTTTTTTATCCGTAACTTGTGAGGATATAAATCAGAACCTTCACATATTTACAGAAGAGTGTAGACATTTCATTGCATTGAAGAGAGGCTCAAAGTGTTTGCAAGGTCCATTTCTCTTTTCAAACCTGGTTAATAGAATGTGCGTTACAAATCATAACCTAGTACTGGAAGGGTTTATGAATTTGTGTACAATTCATTCCAAAAACACAGACTACTCATACTTTCAGGTTGTGTGCTTTATTGTATGGTGAGAGGAAGTAAATGAATCATTCATTTACTCTCACCCCTCTAATTCATGGATTTAATTGCAATGAGCTTTTTTTCTCAGCCTTTGCATGAAATCGATTTGCAATAGTCATGTTTTTTTTTACTCGATCTCTCTTCAAGCTTTGTTTTATTGCAGTTATCAAAAGGTCGGTGTAAGATGGATGTGGGAGTTGGACCAAAAAAAGTGTGGTGGAATTTTGGGCGATGAGATGGGGCTAGGAAAGACCATACAAATCATCGCATTTCTCACTGGCATTCACTACTCCCAGCTAAGAAACAAACACACCATGTGCGTTCAATTATTTTTCAATCCATCCTGTGTGCATGTGCAAACACATATACAGTTTTTTACATGCTTGTAACTTTTTTATTCAAGGTAAGGTAACCAAGCAGCAAGTGACAACGCTACCTTTTCTTGCTTGGAGAAGGTACGCTGATTGTAGACCGACCTATTTTCTTTGAATCAATTTTTCTCATGCTCTTGGATTCATTTCTTTTTTGCAATCTTTATTTGAGGATACAAAATAATTTTCTCACCATAAATTTGGTCACACTGACCTTATTTCATAGGGTCTTTTAGGCTTTGGCTCCATAGGCATGAAAGTTGGCAACTACTGTTAACTCAACACCCTGTTAAAGGAACATATTTAGATGTCCTTTGAGGTTGAGGGCTTGTCATGCCGCCCTCAGGGTCAACTTGCATGCCTAAAGTCCCATACCTTAATTGTTATTAAAGAAATGGTTCTCATCTAGACTATCCGTATCCTATTATTTCAAACATGTACTTGACTTGTTCACTGAAGACATCCATAATGCGTCGTCAAAATTACAGTCTAAATTTTTTAAACTATTTAAAACTATTAATCTTTTTCTTATTTTTTGGGGGGGGGGGTCAAATATCTTTGTTTTTGCCGTTCTAAGCACGCTGTTTCTTTGACCTTCTTAACGTAAAAGTTTCTCTAAATTTATTTGCTCTGAACATTTTCTAAACTGGCTTTCTCAATTTGATAAAATTGTTTAATAGTCAATACAATGCTGTGTTCTGTTTCAATGTCTCATTATGAATTGTTTTAATTTGAACTTGTAGGAAACGAGGTTTAGGTCCATCAATCATTGTATGTCCCACAACTGTGATGCATCAGTGGGTTTGTGAGTTTCACAAATGGGCCCCGCATTTTCGAGTAGCTATTCTCCATGAATCTGGATCTTTTATTGGTGAGTGTTTTTAATTAAGTTCAGTATAGTTCATTTTTTCAAAACCTCTGCCAATAATATTTTCATTGCACCGTAGAGTAATGTTCCATCATGATTGAAAACCTCAATAGGTTGAACAAATCTGATATTGAAAATTTCTCCCGAGTTGCTGATTTTATATTTTTAAATTGTAAATTAGAGATTAATCCGGAAGATCAGGATGGCTGTAAACTCATGATCATGTAATTTTTTTTAAACTTATATTTAATTGTAAGCTTTTACAGGGTTAAGGAACTTGTGGGTACTAATGTGTACTAATTATTTTTTTTTTTTCAAATCAATTACTGGTGAATTTTTTCAAAACTCTATCTGAATTTTATTTTCTTATCGATATTATTTTTTCCATCAGAATAAAAGTTATCATGCCATGAGAGTGTCAAAAACTTCATTTCAATAATACCACTAGCTTCCGTTTCAATATCAATTTATTTTAATAATTGTACTTCATGAATTTTTCTTTCAGGGAAAAAAGCGAATTTAATTGCAGATATAAATAATTCGAGAGGCATCATTGTCACTTCATACTCTGGCATTGTCCAACACAAAGATGAAATTCTTGATAGAAGATGGCACTATATTATCCTCGATGAAGGGCATAAGATTCGAAACCCAGATGCCAAGGTCAGCTTCCACCCTCTTTTTATCTCTTCACCTTTCAGGTCAAAAATAGGAAGGCCTAGAAATTAAAAGTATAATCTATGCTCTTTATTTATTACTGCATATCAATGGTGGAACTATAGAAACATGCACCTTGGTTTGTTACGCTGCAGACTTCCTGTCATACTTTATTTTCAAAATAGGAAACCACTCAACATTATCTTTTGCAAACTTTAGTGATTTTTCTTCCCTGTTTGAAGAATATTTGCTGAAAATTTCCATGAATCATGTCGAATTGGTCTCCTTTTAAAAATGGAATTTCAGCGGAAATGTTCGATTGAGATGCGCGTTGTCTCAGTTTCATTGTCGATAAATACTGTGTTACTTTTGTGCAAAATCTGCCGCTAGTATCCATTTGCCTCACTTATAGTTGATTTTTCCTCTTTTTTTGAGGTGAAATAGTAGAGTTTTGAATCAGAATCATTTCATGATGAAAATTTCATGTAAGAAAACTACTGAGGTTTATTCACTTCCAGATATTCTCAGAGTAGTGGTGAAAAAGGAACCAACACGTTTATATTTTTCAAGGTTTATAATTTATTTTTAGTTATGGAAGAAAATTTTCTGCTGCAAGTAGTAGTTGCCTTTAACTTTTCTCTCCAGGTGCATCAATTATAGTCTCGATTTCCAGAAGTATTTGATATCCTAGCTTTTTCAAATTACATTGTGTCTTTTATGTGTTATTGTAAGTGGAGGCGATTCTGGAAAATTGAAATCTCCGCTTTTCCTCAATTTAATGACCTTTCAAATAATCAGTTCGAGTTACAACCGCCTTTTTTGGTAATTCTTGATTATCCTCGGTGTACTTTTTTAAATGGACAAAACCCAGTTTTGCCAACGTACAAGAATGACCACCATGTAATCGGATTTAATTTTGCAGTACGAAATCACTATTTCTGGCTCATTTTAGAGACAATATACGCACCATTAGTTTCCCTATGCAGGTAGACGTTTTAATGGATGAGCCATAAATATTTAGTCGTTCCTTTTTCCAAAATGTACCTAGCGCAATCGGAAGTTTGACTGAGATGCATTTTGGTCCTTTAGCATTCAATTTCAAATGATCGGTGTCAGATTACTTTAACCATTTATCAAGAAAGAAATTGTATTTTTAAAAAAAAATTAATTTCAATTTTTCTTTCAACCATTGATTGATTATGAAGATCTCGTAGATTATTCTTCTTAGCTCTCCTACGCTGAACAATTCACATAAACTCAGCCCTCTGTTTCAGGTTACTTTGACTGTCAAACAATTACGAACCCCGCACAGACTGATTCTCTCAGGCTCTCCTATGCAGAACAATCTACAAGAATTGTGGTCTTTGTTTGACTTCATATTCCCAGGAAAACTAGGCACCTTGCCCACTTTTTTAGCAGAATTCGCTACGCCTATTGTTCAAGGTGGTTACGCCAATGCGTCTCAAGTCCAGGTAGATTTTCAGTTTGAATTGAAACGAAGATTAGAAAGAGACTAAAATCTTGTTTTACTTTGTATTTTTCAATAACTTTTACGCAATAAAAAGTTCGTTTTACCCAGTAGAACAAGCACAAATTATATTTGAAGTACTGTTGCTCATCAATATTCAACAGTGAGTTTTGACAAGACTGATATAGCAACTTCTCTTTAATTTCTGCTTTTTGCTTTGTCTTTCAAAAGAGAGCACGTCAAACAACTAACAAAGCTCAAAAATGTTGGAAGCAGCTAATTTCTCTCATAAGTGTGTAAGTAAAATGAATAAGTTCAAATTGGACGAATTTATGTTAAAAGGAACTATGTCTCATGCAAACCCAATGCGCATAGTTCCTTTTTAAATACATCCGATTGATAATGAATATACATTAATTATACGATAATTAATAATTGAAGACTAATCAGTTTTTACCTTATCCGACTGATAAAACGTTGAGATTAGCACTCAAATACCTGTAAAATAATTGTTCACTAAATCTTCCCTCTTTTCTCCAGGTTCAAACGGCTTTTAAGTGCGCCACTGTCCTAAAAGACACCATCACCCCTTTCCTCCTTCGTAGGATGAAGTGTGATGTTCAGTCTCACATTGAGTTACCTGAAAAGAATGAGCAAGTCTTATTCTGTCGCCTAACTGACATCCAACGTGATCTTTATCAGAATTATGTAAATTCGCAAGAAGTCGGCCGAATCCTTCAAGGCAACATGAAAATTTTTGTTGGCCTCATAAATCTACGAAAAATCTGCAATCATCCAGATCTTTATTCTGGAGGCCCAAAGTTACTTGTAGGGGTAAGTTATCTATTCCTCTTTGGACATCATTTATCAAAAAAGAACCAGATGCATTGACTCAATAATGAAAGAACATCTTAATGGTCTAACTTAAAAAACTTATTTCTCGACTATAATAGTTTAGTTGTTCTGCACCAGTTTTATTTTTTAAAAGAAGAGGCACCAGATGTCATAAATCAGTTTCAAACGTTAACTTTTATGATAATTATTGCTCCTCCAAGACAAAGACCATGCAGCGGCACAATGTAGTAGGGGATTTTATCTCTAGATCACTCAGAATTCTTATAAAAGAAATTTTTTCCTTTCTGCCTTTACACTCTGACTGAACCCACCGTCAATAGTGTTTCTGTGGTCAAGGACTAAAAAATTCTAATACGATTTTCATTCTTTAAAAAAGTCCGGGAACAACCTTGTGGCAGCTTTGTCGCTTGAAGAATAGTATGCAAGTTTTGGAGCTCTTTATCCTGTAACTAGCTACGGATATTATCACCAATTTTTTAAAATTTTAAGAATGTTGAGCCAGGGAATATTTTCATTTTCCAAAAAAGTCAGCCATGACTTAATAGTGTTTCCAATGACTTGAGTACATGACCACAGATAGTGGTAGTGGTAGTCATGTAGCTGATTCATACAATGTTATCTGATGTTTTTGGGTCATGGAGTAAATTTCTTTTTTAGATTTCCTGTGCTTAAGGCCACTATTTTTTTGGGGTGTTATTTTCTGTAACAATCAAATCCTCTCTCGTTTTCTCCCAAAGAACCCCTGATTGTCTGAAAAATTAATGTTCATGATACTTAAGCCTTTGACCTACAATGAAATGAGCTGAAGAAAGAAAAGTTTTAGGTTTATTACACCAAGGAGACTGAGAGAATTCAAATTTCTTGATCAAATTCATTTTCCTTTCCTGAAATCTTCATGCAACCCCTGAAATTTTGCCAATTTTTCAATCTTTATTGATTGAACGTCTCTATTGCCTTCTTTTTGTAGGAATCAGAGGACAACATACCGGAAGAAGAAAGTTATGGACACTGGAGTAAATCAGGGAAGATGATTGTTGTTGATACCCTACTCAAAATTTGGCATAAGCAAGGGCATCGTGTTTTACTTTTCACACAAAGTAGACAGGTAACAATCATCATCATTAGTAGCCGCCTCAACGACTTAAGACTTTTTTTTACGGATAATGGTTGCATTATTCATGATTGACGATTGTCACAAGAGACAAGTTTTACATAATTAAGCTACAATATCATTTTCATGGGTATCTTTTCCACTCTATTTGTTAATGAAAGACTGCGCACAGAGTACTAAAAAGAAATTTGGTGCCGCCTAAATTTTGGTATTTTTTTTATGATGCTCTGTACAACAATTGTTCGGAGGAATTTAATTCTTCGTGTCCGTCTTATTTTCCTGGCTTGCGAGGGAAAAAAAGATCTCCTCAATCATTAAGTAGATGTTGCATCATTTCCTCCAGTGATTAAGTGTAAAAATGACAAAAATTCACATTAGAGCAACACTTGTCACAATATTGGCACATAGGAAGTATTTTAAAAGCCCATTGTGTTTAGGATACCTCAAGGAAAATAATGTCAAAAAAAATATCTAAATTGTAATAAAAGTGAAACCTAATGAACTCCTGTCTATTCCATAAAAGTGAAATATGATGTGAAAGAATAAGGAAAAAAATAGCTAAAACCAGGGGATGTATTCAATTGTCGATCCATAACAAATTGTTGTTCAATCGCTTTGCAAACGACATTTCAAAACGTTCTCAATCTTTTTACAGCTGACAAGCGCTTAATTCATCCATAAACCAACTAGTTCACTAAGTTCACTAGTTAACTAACTTACCGCTCTGTAAAAAGAGGTGGTCCAATCCTATCTCTTTTCATATGTTCAAAAGTATTAATGGACTTGATATTGTTTTATGCAATATGTTCTCATAGGAGGAGGTTTCACATTGCTTATGGTCTTCTTTTTCTTTCTTTTTTCCTATCAGATGTTGTGTATCATGGAGTCATTTCTTATTCGAAATGATTATACATTTTTGAAATTAGATGGAGGAACATCTATCTCTGCCCGCCAACCATTAATTAACAAATTTAATCAGGTAAAATAAAACTTTTTATCTGTGAATTATCTATAATTCATTCTGAAACCAAACTTCTGTCATGAAAATGTTATCACAACTTAAATTAAAAATTCATTTTACCGGGCTCTTGTACGGTATATTCTAGCTATTGTCTGAAGGAGGCAGATTTCTGCCCATGATTTTTCGTATAACTTCAAAAATTTTCATTCTGAACAGTGGTGTTAATTTTATTTCATCATGGCAACTGTGCCATAATGTAGTGGAATATAATTTTTTTTCAGTGTCTTTTACTTCTCTTCACTGTTTCGGTTAGTCTACTACGTACGTACAAAACTATTGATGATCTGGTTTTAGCCTCCCAGTTTAATTATTAAAATGCTGTTTTCACCGAATATTTTGTTTGGCCCAATACTTAACAACTTCTTTTATTTTTCTAGGATAAATCGTACTTTGCAATGCTTCTAACCACCCGAGTTGGCGGCCTTGGAGTGAATTTGACTGGAGCAAACAGGGTATTAATTTATGATCCAGATTGGAATCCCGCAACTGACACTCAGGCTCGGGAGCGGGCATGGCGGATTGGTCAGTCTCAGAAAGTCACTGTTTATCGATTAATAACAGCGGGAACTGTCGAAGAAAAGGTATGTTAAACAAAGAGTTATTGTTATTAGTCGAAAAATTTTCTTCCTAGCTGCTCAAATGAATTAAAAAGAATCAACAAATATACGTAGTGGCTCTCCACCCACCAGTTACAAAAAGGTTCTCAATAATTTAAAAAAAACTACAAAAATTTTTATGTCTTTTTTCTACCTACACTGAAAAAAATGATCATCATTAAACTCAGGTGTGAAGAACAGTGCTCAAATTTCTTTTGTCATTTGCAAGGATGAATATGTGCTTGGCTTCAGAAAAAAAATAGATTTTCAATCAAAGTTGATGCACCAGAATCTCAAATGCTATGTTAGTCAGGAAGCGTCCAAACACAGTCGATCAGGGCTATGATATTGACAGTTTAAAAATTAAAATAAAAATTGTTAGTGTAGCCCTGAAAAATGAAAGTCGCTTGCAAACGTTGAAAGGAGGAGGAGGGAAAAAATAGCAGCCAGAGAAGGGCATTACCCTGCGAAGAATTAATACCACCAGAATTTAGGGCACCTGCTAAGAATTAATAGTAAATGTATCTGTAAATTTAATAATTCGTGTTTGTTTAACAGATGTACCATCGTCAAATTTTTAAGCAGTTTCTGTGCAACAAAGTTTTGAAAGACCCCCGACAAAGGCGATTTTTCAAGTCCAATGACCTTTATGAACTTTTCACATTGAAAGAAACGACTGGAGAACGTGAAAAGACTGAAACGTCCGCCATTTTTGCAGGCACAGGTAGTGAGGTAAGTGTTCTCTCAGTGAAATTTGTTTATTATTCAACATCACTATGCTCTACGCACTATTCAAAAAGGTAACACTTTTTTAACTTCTGACTGTAAGGGCTAATCAGAATAATTTCATAATGTTTCTTTTGCATACTTCAGCCTTTAAATTCTTTTAGTTCAAAATGAATCCTCCACTTCCTTTTAAGGACTGAAATTACATACAAATAAGAATTAATTTATCGAGGTATAAAATGTCTCTCTCAGATCTTCATAAAAAGAAGAAAAGCAACTGTCGGGCCTAGTTAGATGAACTTTACCACATGGACATGGAGGGGCGATCATAAAGAATTTGCTGTTATTATACAAGGTGCCTGAGTGATATAAACTCTCAGGCATATGTTTTGACCAGTTCATTATTAACAGGTAATAATATCTTCTCTTTGGATGCAATGACGTGGATACTGCTATTTCTAAGTTACCCAAACTTTAAAACCTCTAAATAATTTCGCATTTGAAATTTTTTTTGAAAAGTTGATTTTAAGCCAGTTTCCTTATTTCAATTCTAACATTCCCCTCAAAAATTACAGGTGAAATATAGTCAAGTCAAATCAAACTACCGGAAAGCTAAAGAAAAACTAGCAAAAGAGAGTATGAAACCTGTCGATCCTGTGATAACATTCTCAGAATCTAAGATAGAGCAGATGAAACGATTAGCTCAAGAACTGAGCAAGAAACTTGGTCAAACTAGCGCCAAAAGTGACAGCAACCCTGAAGGCGATGGATCCAGCAGCACAACTGTTGCCGAGAAACCCAGTTCGAGTGGTCAAGATTCCAAAGTCGGCAAAGATAGTTACTGTGATAAAATTGAAGGAAGTGACAATGATGTGATCGCAGGAAAAAGTGATGAATCTTCCTCTAGTCATAAAGTTTGTAGCCCAAAAAAATCAGGTGACCCTAACCCCAGTGAAGCATCTAGCAGTAGAGAGCACAGAAAAAAACACAAACACAAGCATAAGCACAAACGTCGGGACATCAAATTCGAAGGAGAAGAAGTGCCATACCTGGTAGGGCTAGGGGATTACAAAGCTGGAACGGAGGAAGAGGAGAAAGAAAAATCAAGAAAAGATGATGACTACGTTCTAACAAAATTGTTCTCAAAAACAGGTACATAATTTCGCTATACTGAATTAAATTTTGTCTTTTACTCTATATTTTTCCAATCTGATCAAATGAAGCTCAAAGCCAAATCTATTTTGGAGATGAGAAATTTTAAGCATGAGATAAGCAAGTTTTGAAAGTCTAGGATTTTCTAGTATTTATTACGATGGACACATTACGATGGAACTCAGCAAAAAGAAATGGTGATTCCTAAATCAAGTTGTGACTCAACACTTAAATTCTTCTCATAACTTCAATAAATTCTTCTAACTTTCCTCGATCTCATTAACTTTGGTCAAATCCATGGCTCCATTTTTCATAGCTGAGAACTTCTTTGTTCTAAATTTCGTTGGGCGTCTCTATTTATTAATGTGTTATCATTACATTTACAGGGTTGCAAACTGCCATGCAGCATGACACAATAATGGGAGGTGGACCAGCTGATTATGCTCTTGTGGAAGGTGAAGCGGAGAGAGTTGCCAAACAAGCCGTTGAAGCTCTCCAGAAATCCCGATCCCAGTGCTGGGGAGCAGATTCAGGAGTACCAACATGGACCGGGCAAAGTGGCCTCATTAAATCTTCTATTGTTTCCAGCATGTAAGTCAAGATTTCTAGTAACTTAATCTAAATGAATTTTATTAGAACTCTTTATTTCTATCCAATTGTTACAACCAGCTTATGACAGTGGTATCATGGCCCATGAGATGAGAGGTCAGTCTGTATTCGGTCGGTTCTCTTCCCATGCCAAGGTTGTTTTGATTGAATTTGCTGCCTTTTTATACTTTTTTTGTAACTTTTGTCTTCATTCTGTAGGTCTCTTTTTTGTATGTGCTCAAAGCAAACTGACTTTCATCCATAACTGTTTCAAAATGTTTTTTTAATGAATATTTCAATTTAAAATATCTCACAATTTTGTGAAGAAAGGAAAACTATTTGAGCTGAAATGTATGACAATTTTCCTCTAATGTTACTCTTTTGACCATCTAGGGATTTTTCATAAATTTTGAAGGTTATGGGACAAAGTTAGAATGCATTCTTCTTTTTCATCTCTAAGCTAAACTTTAAAAGGTTTAAAACATAAAGAAATGTTCAGTCGGGAGTATGCATTATTAATAGAGGGAGAGAGGATCATCAGATATATTATATGACTTCAGTTCAGAGCGTCCTTTTTTTCTCTCTTACAGTATCATTTAATGTCTTTTTACTTTGGTTTTAGAAAAAAGATTGGAACAACCAGTGGGGCAATGAGCTCTGCAGACCTCCTCAACAAGATCCGAGAAAGAAACGGTGATGTCAAGGCGTCAAGTAAGGAGTTGGACCTTCTCAATGATATCCGATATTTTATTGCATCAAACAGTGGAATTACAACCACTGATGAGCTCATCAAAAAGTTCGAAAAACAACTACCTGTTGATGTTACTCCGCTATTCAAATCATTACTGACACAAATCTGTACTTTCAACAGGGGCGCCAATCAGAAAGGTTATTGGCGCTTGAAACCTGAATTTAAATGATTCCTCAAGGATATCTTCATTTCATTCTGTCTCATGTTAACTGCCATAATATTCATTAGTCATCAAATTGCAGTCAAAAATAGCATCAAAATCCAATAATTTTTTTTATTTTGAGAAATATCTTTTCAAGAAAAATTGTAAAAGACCATTTTCAGGAGCTGTGACCTCATTAATTTCTTTAATAACGTCCCTCTCAAAATTCTAGAAGGAATTGGTGTTAAATGTTTAATTTTACCTTTCGTAATCAGAAGATTCTAAGCATCTCAGGTTTTATTGTTAGTAGCCATATTCCATTTGTCGTTATTATCATCAAGTACAATGAATAATAGGGAGAGCAGTTGATTGAATCATTCTATTACAAAATTTATATGTCTAATGTAAATTACTTGTCTGTGTAGCTATTCATTTTATGAGACCTCTTCCTACAGAAAACGCACTTATTTAACTGATCCACTTATTTTTCCGAATAAATGAAATTTTAGGCATCAATTCTAAGTACTAAATGACACATTGAATGGCCTACTTATTGACCTTTTGATAGATCTGTATTAACAGTTTTGATTGAATCAAAGAATTTGCTGCATAACTTTATTTATCAGCGTCTAAATGTATACTCCACTTGATTCTGTGATTAATCGAGTGCATTTTTTGATTTGTATCGTTTTACTTAATGTAAAGCCTTTTGTTCATTTATTTAGCATTAATAATATTTCAGCCAATCAACCATTATCCCCTTTTTATCTTCGTAATCCCTGAAAATTTGGGTGTCTCTTGGAAATTTTACTTCGAAAACTTTTTAAATAGAATTTTTTATTTGTCTTTATTAAGCTGGCATTTTTGCCAATTTTTTCGCTCGTTAGTGAGAGATGTAGTCAACAAAACTCCCCGTCCGACTGTTTAGTCACACATCACATCCTCCTCTGGTGTTACACGTTCCTTTTCTAAGCATCAAATTCCTAATCCAGCTGTTCCCTCGGTATGTTTCAAACAAACATATGCACGAAGAGCCATTAGGTGAAGCAGTTGCATACTCCACTTCAGTTTTGTTTTCTCAAAAATTTTTTTATTTGATAGCCTTGTGAAGACACCAAGACTTGAGAAAAAGCTCTAAATTGATCATGGCTTGTGTTACTTTTTTGTCTGTGATACAATTGTTATTCTTAAACGTAAATTTATTTATTATTTTTTGTTCTTTCTTAAGAATTTTTTCTTTTTTTGTACTTCTTTTTCCATAATAAATTTATAATTTTTGCAAAATTTTTCTCTCATGACTCTTTATTATTCCATTTCAACCGTCCTACAATTCTTTATATTTAACAAGGCTGTTGAAATAACCTACAGAAAACGTTCAAAATTATTTGCTAAGAGCAAAGGATAATTTTTAGAAAGCGCCCGGAATAGTTCTGATCTGACCAGTTTTGAAGTTGCTCAAGTACTCCTATTTTTACCCTATTTCTTTGGCTCACTAAAGTTTTACAGGAAGAGAGATTAGAGAAGAATGCCAATGACCAAAGTGTGAAACCCTGTATCTCCGTTTACAACGTCGCAGACTTCCTGTATTACCTTACGTTTTCTTTGGCAGGCCAAGCAATGCAATTTCCCTAAAAACTTCCTCGATTTTTCCTCTCACAGCAGAATATATTCCTTATAAAGAAGTTTGCTTGTTTCTCTTCAAAATTATTAAATAGGAGTGGAAATGTTGACACATTGTAATCAGGGCCGGATTTACCTACTTGCCGCCCATGGGCCGCCTGTATTTTTCCGCCCCCTCCTCATTTGTTAAGTGAACGTGCCGGTGGGAGAGGGGTGTATGAAACGCATTCACTCGTTTTGAGCACATTTTTTGTGAAAGCCCCGTCAACACCAACAAAAGTTCACGGAACTCTACGCGAAAGTCAAGTTCCGTAAACCCCTCCCTGTTTGGACAAGGCCTTCCATTTATAACAAACGAACGAAAAAATTATGAAAGAACAAACATAAATGTGGTTTAATAATTTTAACTTCCGTCGCTGCGCCGCGCGCTGACCACACTGAGTTTGGCGCAATGTGTGAAGTATTCTTGCAGTCTTGTAGGCGCTATGCGTTTCTCGCCGACCGCTGCTGACCGCAATGTTTGACGCAATGCGTGAAGTAGTCATCCAGTCTTGTAGGCGCTATACGCTTGATGCCGACCGCCGCGCCGCGCTGAGGCTGAGGGCTTCTCCTTTTCATCTCAGTCCTCGGTCCTCGTCATCATTGCCTTCTGCGCCGCTCCGCTCAAGGTCAAATCGCGTGTTTGGTTTCACTCATAACTCAACTAATTAAAGGTGTTGTCTCCTGTATCACCGAAAGACGACAAAATTAGAAATTACTATTCTCCTACTCTCATGAAATGAGAAATTTTATCGCCTTTTCTCGTTTGTAATTTATTTTCTGGGTCCGATTTTTCCTTCTTTTTTTTCCCCTACATTCTGCCGCCATAGGCCGCGGCCCATGTGGCCACTGACCACCCCCTTAATCCGGCCCTGATTGTAATGGAGATACATGGTTTCGATTTGTTGGCCATCAATATCAATCACTTTAATTGCATTTTTATTGGCAGGAAAAACTTTTTTTTTTTTATTTTTAAATTTTTTACAGATGCCACAGAGATTCTCTCAGTGCAGGTTTTTGCTCTCTCTTCGACTGCCTTATATATGTAATGATCTGCATCAAACTCCTGCTGTTACCTTCCCCCTCCCTAAGTAACTCCTTCTCGGTTTAATGCGGATCAGCGGCGTCATTNGGGGGGGGGGGGGGAGTCGCAAGAATTTCAGGCTAAGTTGTTTCACAGGCCCAGACTTAGGGCGTGTGCAGGGCGTGCGGCGTACACGGGCGCCAGCCTTTGGGGGGCGCCACGAAAGAAGAAGAGAGGGGAAAAGGAAAAGGAAAAAAAGGGAAGAAAGGACAAGGGGAAAAAGGAGAAGGAAACAAGGTTGGGCAGTGAAAGCAAGGAAGAAGGGGGGAAATGGAAGGAAAAAGGAGGCAAGAAAAGTGAAAAGAGCGTCCGCGAGAAAAGGGGGGGGGCATAAAAACCATAGACAAAATATAAAGAGAATTGCCGTCTAAAGGTAAATTTTCAGGACAAAAACTCCACCTGGTCCATAGACGGTCAGGCGCCCCTTGACCCTAAATTTGCGGCTGTACAGAAATACAAGAGTAGGCATGTAGTGAGGGGGCGCCATAAATCCATCGAACAGGAGCCGACATAGCATTTTAAGCCACGTCCGCCATCTTGGATTTGAGAATTTTTAAACATAGTCAAAATTCGAGTTTCCGGTCGAAAAATACCCTCAGACACCGAGTTTTAAAAAAATCCATCGAACAGGAGCCGATATAGCATTTTAGGCCACGTCCGCCATCCTGGATTTGAGAATTTTTAAACATAGTAAAAATTCGAGTTTCCGGTCGAAAAATACCCTCAGACACCGAGTTTCAAAAAAATCCATCGAACAGGAGCCGACATAGCATTTTAGGCCACGTCCGCCATCTTGGATTTGAGAATCTTCAAAAATCGACTAAAAATTCTAGTTTCCCGTCGAAAAGTACCCCTGAACGCGCGGTTCACAAAGCTCTAACGAACAAAAACGGAGGCCAGAACCGGGGCTCATTTTAGGCCACATCCAACATTTTGGAGTTGAGAATTTTAAAAAGTTGACTAAAAATTCGAGTTTTCCGATGAAAAATACCGTGTGACACCGCATTTCACAAGATTCGAACAAACAGAAACCGAGATAGCATTTTAGCCCACGTCCGCCATCTTGAATTTGAGAATTTTAAAAAATGAACTAAAAATTCGAGTTTCCTGTCGAATATTACCTCCTGACATCGAATTTCAGAAAAATCCATCGAACAGGGGCCGAGATAACATTTTAAGCCATTTCGGATTTTCGAATTTTGAATTTTGACAGATTTTGATTTAAAACGCGTGATCCCCAAAATCGAAGCTCAGATTCGGATTCCTCGTAAAAAATCGATGCGATTTCATGTATCATACCCTGACACCGAATTTCAGGAGAATCCATCAAACAGGAGCCGAGATGGCATTTTAAGCCACTTCGGTCATTTCGGATTTTTGAAGCTGAAAAATCTTACTTAAAACGCGTGATACCCAAAATCGAAGTTCAGATTCGGATTCCTCGTAAAAAATTGATACAATTTCATGTATCATACCCGAGCATAGCGTGAAGGAAAGAGACGTAACGTAG